TTAGACATTAATAGGTATGTTTTAGTAACTGCCATGTATTCTGTAGGTGCAAGTTTAATTTAAAAGAAAGGTTCACAACTCCAAAGTTAACTTCTAAAAAATTCTAGAAAACTTATAGAAAACTGTCACCTGCTGTAGGTGACCCTGTCTTGACAGGAGAACTGGATTACGTGATCTCCAGTGGTCCCTTCCAACCCTAGTTATTCACACTAAAATTTTTCCCCAGTAATAAAAAGGTGTGCTGGATTATAATACTAGCAGAATAGGTAAATAAACCAAAAAAGGTTTGATTTTTGGAACCATCAATGAAAATGCTTCTTCAGTTCAACTGTAAAACCAGCAAGTTTAAGATACTTTGAATATTTAAAATATTTTTACTACGTGAAATGCCATTTATTCTTTAACTAAAAATTTTAGATTTCATTGAACAGCTCACATACAGAATAAGATGTTTCAACTACTATTCAACTTTAAAATAAACCTGAAATGATAAATTGGCCAACCTTTTCTACAAAATTTATTTTACTACTTCTGCATTTTGCATCAGCAAATAGTCATCCCACTGCACCAGGAGTGGCCACCTACATGGTTTGCACGTCGCAAGCTCAAAACCAGTAAGGTAATGCCATGAAAGATAACACCATGATGTGGAAGTTGTTAAATAGCAAATAAACTTGTTGAAAACAATGGTGCCATTTTATTTCAAGCCAGAATTATTTCAAGCTTGTGTTTAGCATGGCAGGTATCTTTCCACATTGTAAGGTGCCTCAGAGAAGAAGGCTGTAGATATATCTGGATGAGTCTCAGATTCAGATCAGGAGTGCTCTTTGGAAGCCAATCTCCCAGTTGTCCATGCTTCCTGGGCATGAGTCTGTGTAACTACTGGACAGTCTCCAAATGCATGACCAGCAGTTTTTTAGGGTGACATAAATCTGAAGAAGCATTCTAGCAGTGCACATAACATAGTCCAACTGCCAACAGGCATTCAGGCCATGGGGCAAGGCCAGTGTCAGTCCAGATTTTGAAAATTCCTGGAATGGTGGTAGGTATCAGGTCCTCGGCCTGCTAATGTTTCACTGCCCCAGTGCTGCTGGTCGATGACATTCACTAATACAGACAGAGTTTCTATGCTCAGAGATAATCAAAAGCAGAGAAAATTTAAATATTTTTGTCTGATTATCACTGACACCTGATTGTTTTCTGCAAGAGGTACAATATAAAGTATGTAAGCAGCATCTCCTAGGTTCTAAAAAAAGATGTCTTTTATGCTACTGAAAAATACAACCATTATCAAACGAAATCCTCATTGAACCATCACTTCATTTCAGAATAAGAGTTGAGTGGAATTTAGTAGCGTTTATTACTTATCAGCCTGTCTTCAGATTACAACAGTGGTAACTGCAATCAGGGAATGTTAACAACCCAACCTGAGACAGCGTAAAATCTTTTATATTCCTTACCAAGATATAAAGATCAGTTACTTACTCTCACCCCTGGGTTTTGAAGCTGGCATAAAAGCAGTGGACTGTAAAGCTATAGGGAACTACCTTTAACAATAAAGCCCTTTAAGAGCTGGAAGCAGATATTGTCACAGCACTGTTTTAAGAACTAATAAACCATGAAGATTAAATAAAAATCTAGAATCACCAAATCTGATCCATCACCTCAGTGCCTGGAAGGAATCTTAACAACAATTTGCTTCTAGGGCAAACATAGGCTGCTCCAGAAGGTGTGAGGACGAGGCATCCTGAACTGTGGCTTCAGTTTTCTTCTACGACACAAACTGCTGAGCAATCATGCCACTAACACAGATTAATTACAACTCATCAGGGAAATATCATTCCACTTTGCTCTTGTCGTTTCAGCTCTGACTTTGGGAGAGATGACAAGATAATTTAAACAGCCGCAAAGCTTAGGGTAATGCATACTTCATCAATCACTCGCTGTCCCATCAACAATTCACGCTCACAGGAAACATGTATCCCACCATTAGAAGCATTTTGGCAGCGACGGCCGGTGAGGCCGCTCTGCTGGGCTGTGGCTGGGGGCAGCACGGCTTGCCGAAAGAACGGCTGGTGGTGGAACACAGTCCGCAGTCCCGGGATGAGCCGGGATCCTGGAGCGGCCGCTGCAGTTCCGGCCGGCACCACCGGGTGTCGCTGCGGGGCAGCGGCGGCGCCCCGGCCGCGCCCGACCCCGGGGGAGCCGCGGGGAGCGAGGGAGGAACACAAACCGGGAACGCTACCGGGACTCGGGCGCAGCACCGCCTGCCTGGCTCCCTTCTGCCCTCCAGGTGTGCGAGAGAGGCTCGCCACCGCTTTCTGCCGGGCCGGGCCGCTCACGGGGCATTCCCGGCGCGTGGCACAAGGATCAGGGCCGCCCAGTGGCACCCACTGCACAGCCCCTGCCTTCACGCCGGGGCGCGGCTGGCGTGGGCAGCGTTCCAAGCACAGGCAGCACGGAGCACACCTCGCACTGCACTTCTCCAACCTCAGTGAGCAGCTCTGCTCTCCTTCTCCCGCCCAGCCACGGTGTGCTGCGGGCCGGCCAGGACGGAACTGCCCCATGGCCTCCCTGGCCACGCCAGTCCCCCGTCAAGATCTGCTGGCTCTGTTACTCCTTCTGGTGTGACTTCTGCCAATCCACCACATCTCATTTTCCACTGAGGCTTCTCGTATTTTACTCTTTCAGATGACTTGAGCCATTAAACACCTAACAATTCGGTCTTACTTGACTTGGTACTCCCCTTCAAACCCTGCAAGTCCTTTATTCCCAACCAAGAATTTATTCCCACGTAGAGTCATAGCACTGAGCTGGCAAAGGATTCGAGAGAGTGCTGGAGCTGAGGTACTCCTACCTGCAAATGAAGCATCTTTCTTGTTTGCTAAATGAAACACCTGCACTGCTTACAATCAGAATTTTACTATTCTTCACAATTTAATACTGAGAAACAATTTAAGATCAAGATCATTATTAGCTGTCAATAATGTTATCGATATTGCCCTTTAATAGATGAAGCTGCTGCCCAGCAGGGACAGGTCCAGGGACAGATCCTTCATGAAAGCAAGCAAGAATTTTCAAAAGTATCACAATGGTCCCCAGAAATTTCAGGAAAACATACCAAATAAAAACAGGCCCTTCTGAAAATGAGCATATGTTTAAGGGTCTAATTTATTTTTACTGCTATGAACTTCTTTGGTCAGAATATTTCCTTTTGTAGCATGCCTCTTCTTTCGTACCTCCAGCAATTTTAAACATGTATATATTTGATTTTCACAGCTATATAGTGACAGGAAATTTAGAAATTGCTCATTTTTTATTCTGCAATTATGAATAGCACTATTGTATGTGTTTCCTTTCTGCAGTGAAAATTTAAAAGTCTATAGCGAATGCAATAAATATCTCAGTGGAAAGCATAGAGAGCTGTTCCAAATCATCTCTTGAGAGAAATCTACTACCTTCAGCATCTGCAATTCCCACCGTGCACTACTACAGTGAAACGTAAGTACTCCACAATAGAAAACAATACTAACAGACATTTGCAAGAGCCTTTTAAAATACAGTTTCCCCCACCTCCTTTCAATACTAACACAACATAGAATATAATAAGGTGCACCTTTCTGACCAGGAACACTCAACAATTCTCTAAAATGCTTGCAGTTTGCTTCTGACACAAGAGTCCTTGCTGTCAGAAGCCCCATGAGACTCAGACATGTCCTGGGGCTTGGGCATCTCAAGCTTATGTGGGTGTTCCCTGGCAGGCAGCCTCAAGAAAAGCCTCACAGGGAAACCACTAACTGTGGGGCTAGGCCACTACTTCTCAAGAAACTAAAAATTAAGCTTACCATGAAACAGGTAATGTAAATTGCAGACTAGGGTCAGACTCTGCTGTCTTTCAGCAGACCAGACACTCTGACAGAATGAGAAACCAGAACTGGCAGTAGAGTGTGAAATGAGTCCTTCTGACTTGTGATACAGCTGCCAGCAAACTGAGTGAACTGTTGTAGCTCAGCATGCAAAGAGTATGAACTCCCATTCCTCCTCTCCCTTCCCTGACATTCCACCACAGCCACACATGGAGGACTTCAGTTTAAGCAAAATGAGTTGTAGCTGCCTTCTATGTCCTACCATGTTTTTTTGGTGTTCAGCCTTCCTTTATTTGTTCCTACTGAGAATCAACATTGAGAGCTGAAATAAAGGATTGTGTAACGCTGTATTCGGGATTCAAATTGTGAGCTACAAGATACATCACCAGAGCAGACAAGAAATGAGAACTTGAATAAATGTATTAATGAGAACAGTACTAAGATGAAGTAGTATCATTTTTCTTTTTTATATATGCTTTGCTGAATATATAAATAATTGCCATGTAAGGTAAAAGAAGTCTATTCATTCCTAATCCTAAAGAGGATGCAAACAGCTCTCCCTTACTTATAGCTGCAGGGGACTCTAAGTCACGGCTCATTACAAGGAGCAAACAAAAATGCTCACTTGAACTTTAGTGTTCACACTCAACACTGTGAAATACTGCAACATAATCAATTTACTAAAGATAGCTGATACCCTGGGATGTACAAATGCTTCCCAAGCTTCTTTGCCTTGAAGTGACAGGCCAAGGACCACCATTCTAATGCACAGGATACTCAATCTTCTGTCCCCTTGCTGCTTCTAGAAAGCAAGCTGGTTTCCTTTCAGTTTTTCTTACATCCTCTGTGCCCTGATGCAAAAAATAGAACTTGGACAAATAAATGTATTGCTCTAAAAATAAGATTCAGGGGGGTAGCCTTCAGTTCGATAAGCAAAGGATATAGGAAGTTTGCAGCTACTATTTTAGTCTCTAAATTAGAACACTGGCTCTTTTGTGAGGTATGTGAAACATCTGTGCAAATAAACATAAAGCGGGACAAAACTGTTCCTCCCCCTAAAATGACTTCTCCCACAGCATGCCATTTTTTGCAGATGTAAGAACACCTTCCCTGTGGATCATACTTGCTACTTACACTGTGCACGCCCAGAGCCTTCCAGATAGCAAAACTCAGCAGTCCAACTCCACACCATGCATAGAGTGAGCCCCACCCTAGGGCTCGTAAGGCCAGTGATGAACCACTCTCTGGTAGTGCAGCTGTGGCAGTAATCCCCTAGAACCAAAGACAAAAAGATCATGACAAAGTGAACAATAACTGGGAAAGAAAAAACAAAACTAAGTAAGTTGGTGATTTAGATGTGTTCCTGACCTGCCAGTTGCACTAGTGTGGCCACAGAAAATCTTAAGGCTGCCAGCACATCTCAAGAGCCAAGAAAGGGGATGGATGAAGTGCCTCCATACCAGGAGAAGATTTCACAGTTGCCAGTGCCACCTAGGGATGACTTTCATTGCCCAGAAATATCAGTCAGTTGTTCCATGGGCACGATAATCCAACACTCAGTTATCTCACTGGTCAAAATACAAAACTGAATCCAAACCAGTTACAAGCCTTTATGCCAGTGACATCCGAACATAATCACTGTATGCCATTGATTTCCTGATTTTGGTACTTTTTCATGGGGGGCAACCGATGGCCTGTAGGTCTTTATCTGCACTTCTGGAACAGCTCACTGGGAACCTGCAAGAGCAGCTTTCATCTGGACATGCAAAGGGTATTGCAGTGACCCAGGGACTAATTTCAGAGAGCTACAACTCTGAAGAAGCTCTGGAAACTATTAAGGAAAAACTTTTAAAAGCAAACAACAATGCTGAACCCATTCCCCTGCAGAGTTCACTAAGCAGCAACACTGAAAATGCTGTGTGGTCTCCACACTTCTCATTTTTGTCAGAAGACACCTACAAGAGTAGGTGGTTTTAAGATACTGCTGCATACAAGTTCGCCATAAAACGTGTCCTGAAAACACAAGTACTTTGAAAATGCTGTCACTCGGAAAAGATACCACAGGCCAAGAATGCAGCCTTGGCTATGGTGGGGTCCCAACCATAAGGAAACCTCTCTGTCACAGCACATAAATGGAAATTGCAGCTTCCAGAGGCACTAGGCACATGCTGGGTGGCATCAATCCATGTGTGCCCCACACTCACTGCTAGCCAGCCATTCTCACCTCACAATGCCCACCATACTGCACCTATTTGGAATACCAAAGCTTCAACCTGTGTAGCCCACAGCAGCAGTGACAACAGACAGAATTCTCTCGCTCATAGTGGCAACTGCCATTCAGAGGATTTTATTTTCCCCTCCAAAGGATCATTGTTCAATTGTTCACAGGCAAACATAGATTTCAGATGATAATTGTTAAAGATTGGCATTTATAGTCCTTACACTCAGAACTCAACACTTCTACTTAATTGGATATCTTGGGGAAAAAAAAAAACAACTCACTATTGCTCAGGGGTAACATAAATGAGATTGCACACATAAAATTACAAAAATTTATTTCATTTATAGTCTAAAATACTGAAAAGTAAAATTAACTTGTGGAAGGATCAAAAAAACCTTTTCTCCAAAACAAGCGAAAGAACTGCTCTTTTTTACTCATCACAAAAAGTGGGGGGAAATTTTATGTATTCTTGCTTTAAAAAAGCTTTAAAATTTTAACTTATTTTTAAATACTTCTCTTTCTTCTTTGATACAATTAAACATATTTAATGTCTACCACTATGGTCAGTCAAATACCACCAGTCCTTTTTCTCCTGTTGGCTTTGTGTTTATTGAAATGTTAAAATGATCCTCAGTCAGTCCTCAGCATTGACACTTTACCTTGGGATTTAGCTACTCAAGGACAGCCTGTAGGCACAGCTACTCAAGGACAAACATGCACTTGGAAAGGGCACAAGCAAAACGTATCTGGACCCCTATTTATTCCAATCTGGACATCCCAAAGTGGAAGCTGTTTACAAAAACAATGCTCTGTAAGCATACACACACAAACAGCAGACATCTCTAGTCACGCTATAATATCAGGTCCTATTATCTCCTTACCACAGATAATGAACTATTATAACTCTTTCAGTAGAGACTGCTCTGAGTATTGAAATGCTGATTGCTTTTGACATTTTTCCTGCTTCCATGGTCTAACCATATATAACAACACTGAGAAAAAACCATTCCCATTTGGAAGATGGGAAATTAATGGACAAAAATATCCTCTACACAGAATCTTTAAATAGGAGTCATTATCTGTGAAAATTGCCGGCAAAAAACCCAACCAACTACTATTTAAATGCTTGATTGTCCCAGAAAAATAGTGGTAAATGGAAACAACTGCTCTGGTTTTACTGACTGCAGTCTAATAGGGTTCAGTCACAGGCTGATTCTTCAGTACACAGACAAGAGTTTGTGAAAACAGGACAGTTGGTTACATGTTTATCAGATACGCTGTTCAGAGCATCAAGAAAGCTGATTAATGAAATGCTAAAAAATTAAAAAGTACAACAGTGATAGCATGGGAGAAAAAGACGACAACACCAAAAAAAAAGAGAACTGAGTTTTATTCACTAACCTATTATTCTATGTTCAAATTGTTTTCTCATCACTACTTGCCCACATTTTTTAAAAAAACATTCTTTAATTTTAAAAATAAGCATTTAAACAATATTGAGTCTTTCCAAAAACAGGCCAGAAAAAAACAGGGCAGAATTAGCTGATTTGTTTTCCAAATATATGCTGCTTTTTTCATTTTATTGGTTGTTGTTGTTTTGTTTTCCTCTGGAAGACATAAACAGGAAGTGGGAGAAGGAAAAAAAATCACTTTTTTATTCAGACACTGGCCTTGATCGTGTAACTGCCCCCTTGTGCACAGAGCATGTCTAAAAGGAAGCAGTGCCTAAAATAAAGTGTGTTCAACTGTTTTGGTTCATTGTATTCAGTGTGTCCACTCTTTTGTGTGACCTAACCCATTGTGAAATTAAACATCTGGATAAATGCTGGTAAAACTGGACACTTCTCAAAAGGAGGCTGCTGCAGCTGAGCATTTAATTTTAACAAAAACTCCCCATCAACTAACCAGGATACAGCACATGTATTGGTGGCTTCACTGGAACAGGAATAAATTGTCAGAAACCGAGGGCTGGTAGAATTAACCAGTGAAAAGTTTAAAGTACCTGTCAAACTATGGCCTCACCTTAACATGGATAAAAATAATATTTAGGCATTGAACATCTAAAAAAGGTGCAATCTTCTGTAGTTATTGTTATACATTATATATTATCAAAAGTTACTTGCAGTAATTAACTATAAGTAAGAATGCTAATGCAAAACCTCATTGGTACCTCAGAGAGTTCCTACAGAGAATTAAGCCATTCTCAGAGTCTAGTCGTTCCTTTTTTAAACTGCTCACTGACAAGTACCTTGACAAAAGAAGTATCTTTCTACACTATGGAGTATTAAAGTCGAGGGGCCCATGAAATCACAGATTTTTGCTAGCAAACTCTTGTAATTCCTTTGCACAAATAGCAGCAGATACAGTTTTCAGCAGAGATCGAAATGGTATATATCAGTTGATGACATTCTAGCATATATATTCTCGGATGTCAATGCAATGTCACTCTTGATAAATTTCACACTGATGACAGGACAGCTCAGACACTCGGGAATATATGGAAGCTGGAAAAAATGCAGTGCTCAAGAGAAAGGAAGTTTAAAAAAAAAAGATGTTAAAAAAGGAAACTATTTCCTTATTGTAATGTATTTCCACAGCTTTTGTGATTATTGTGAAATAACTTCTCATGAAGTTTTCCATTTTGCCTATTTCAAAAGAGAAACTTATGCTTATTGTTTCTGTAAAGGCAATCGATGAGTTATGACACAGGAGCCTATGACACAGAGAAAAGTAGGAAAGCAAAAGAAGGATCTCATGCTCTTTGACCAGAAAGACAGATTACGAGTGATCAGAAATTAAGGTTCTCATATAAAGTACAATGGAAGAATTTTTTTCTCTTGATATGCACTGAATTAACTTGATATGTTATTGAATCATCATTTTTAAAATAAACACAACTGATCAGTGCCTAATTCCCTAAGAACATCTGTAATATATGTTGCATTTTAAGAGCTTGGTGGAGGTGGGACTGATCAATTTTAAGGGCCTATTTTTGACGTTATAGGTAATAACAAAGTATTAGTGAGGGAGAAAGCATCCTTCAATTAAACGTGCTGTGTTTCAAACTAATACACGAACACAGTATAACTACTAACTCTGCTTTGCAGTTCTTTTCTTCAGAATGCAAAAGTGGATCCAGTTAGTAATTGCCTGAGCTCAGATTAATTTTGGCCATGAGATCTCACAGTCCCATAGTACTCGTTTCATCCTTCCCCTTATACAGTGGGATGGGAGAGGAGAGCTTTAATTTTGACTAAATGATCCCACTTACATATTCCACAGCTTACAGACTTTCTACCTCCTCATTCCATCCCATCCTTATTGCAGACACCTCACTTCCAGACTCATTGCAGCACTATGAGACTGCATGGTGAACTGGATCTCTGAGGTGATGCAGGCTCATGTCTAAAGTGTGTTCACAGAATTAAAAGAGATCAGTAACTGTTATTTCACCATACAGAAGTATAATTTCAGCAAACAGTGTAAGCAGTATGTATTTCAGCTAATCTCAAGTACTAAAGTATTTAGCAGGGCCAACTCTGAATTGATTTTTAAATTAAACCTATGCCTGTACCGAATTCAATTAAGTCCAGTGCTCTTATCATCAACTCTGCCAAGTTCCACAATATATCACCATGTCTATAAAGCATTCAATGTATTCTTATTTCCTGCGTATCACTACTAGAAAACAACTTAAAAGAACAAACCTTACTGAACCAGTCTGGGTTCTTCTTTTTTGTCATTGCAAGTGTAGTGCCAAAACCTGCTATCATTCCAGCTGTGGCAACAGTACCTAGAAAAATTCCACCTGCCAAAAAAAGTTGAAGAAATAAAAATCAAGACATTGTAACTTAAGGGGAAGAAAAAAACAAACAACCTGTTTAGAAAATAAAACCTGAACATGTAAAATCTGCTAGCATATGCTGAAGGGAAAGGCCCAGTTGTCTACATTTTTTATGCTAACTCAATATGACAAAACAGCAAGACAAAGAATTAGTTCTATGAAACAAGGCATTTTGAAAACAATGGTATGCGTATGTATTTTCAAGCAACACAAAAATTCAAATCCCAGGATGCTTTTTTTTGCAGTACTTCGAAATTTCCCTCATTCCGGAGTCAGTCTACTAAAATCATCTTGTTCTATAGTGATTCCTCACCCTTCCCCAAATGGGAAATATAATTGGTTTTGTTGCATCACTTGTGATTTCAAATGGCCAACTAAAAATGGTCATCACAGTTCCTCTGAAGACCGTTACATAAGCAACACCTGTTCTTCAGCTTTATGTTTTAACAGTCTATTTAAAATTAAAAAAAAAAAAAACAACTTTCATAATTGAAAAAAAAGAAAAAATTACACTAGCATAAGCTATCTCAAGAATGCAAGCATCCCTTGCTTTTCAGTCCTTTCAGTTTCTCCAAAGTCACTTGAGGCACCTTGATCCTTTACAGCTCTTGCACCAAAAGCATGTGTAGACATACCTGCCCACTTTTAAGGAAAAGCTTGTTACAAAGACTTAGTGCACTGCAGAAACCGACCTGATTCATATTAAAATTTAAAATTTTCAGGGGGTTACATGTTCTTCCTCTGCAGGTATTGATACCCATTCTGTTTTCCTTTTCCTAATACCACTTAGGTAGTTTTAAAATGGTCTGAATAGGAAGTAAGCAAAATACGGTTAAGTTAGGTCTCACTTTTAAAGTTATTGATCTGATTATTGCTGTTAAGTTTCATGTAGTCATGTCAATTAAATCTGTAAGGTACCTCCTCTGCCTGGGAGCAAAAAGACTTCTCATCTTGGCCGAATCATGAAGTCCACTAAGTTTTACATTTACAGGTCTGGTAACCAACAGACCTGGAAATCTGCGTCTGAAACCAAATTTCAGACACAGTAACTGGTGGCGGTACGCCAATGATGCTCTGGACGGTCCTGCCCGGGATGTTCTGGCCGCCTGAGCCCCGGCCTCTGCTCCGCCGGAGGGCGCGGGGAGACCGAGCGGACACCGGGAGCAGCCCGGAGACACGAATAAAAATCTCAATAGAATATAAACACAAAGCCGCACAGCGCCGCCAGCCCGCCGGACGTGCGCCCGCTGCCCTGCAGCTGCGTGCGGCTGCGGAGACTGGCTCTGCCCCCACCGCGGTTCTCCCGGCTCGGGACACCGGCTCGTTCCCTTAGGAAACCCGCAGCGCTGCCTGGAGCCCGGGAGAGCCGCCCCTTCCCGAGGGCTCCGCAGCGCGGAGCCCCTCAGGGCTGAGCTCCCTGCCGGGAAGGAGGCGGCTCCGCTCGGCGCCCGTCCCGCGTCCTGCCCGGGGCCCCGGGGGAGGGCGGCTGAAGGGTGTCCGGCGCCGCCGCTGCCAAGGACGAGGGAAAAAGCGGCCGGCGATGCAGGAGCTTCCTCGCTGTATCTAGAAGCCTCAGCGAGGCCATTCCCAAACGTCTCGCCTTCTCCCCAGGGGCGGCAGAGATGGGCAAAACCCAGGACTACGGCAAGGGGAGCACGGCTGGGGACGGTCTCGGGCCTGCCGCACACACTGCTGCTCGTCCCTGACCCGTGCAGGAGCAGGAGGGGAGGAGAAGAAGGCCGTCAGCACCTTTGATTAAGAAGAGCTTGTCCTGGGACGCCGCAGAGCTCCCAGCCCCCCCCGGCAGGGACAGCCCGCGCCCGGGCTCCAGCGGCGCCGCGGCCACAGCCCCGTCATGGGCGGCCCCGCCGGCAGCCGCCCCCATGGCCCAGGGCACGGGAGGAGGAGGCGGCGGCTGCGGCAGCAACCCGGAAGGAAAGGAAGCCGGGCCGGGACACGCAGCCGCCTTTCTTCCTTCTCCTTCGCCCCCTCCGCGGCCGCGCAGCCGGGCGGGATCCGGCGGCATCGCGGGCGGAGCTGCCGCCCCTGAGCAGGAGAGGGGAGGGCGGGGCCTCCTCCCCTGGGGCGCGCCCCGCATCCCCAGAGCCCGAATCGCGCCGTGGGAAAATGGGGAGAAGTTGTCCGAGCCTCTTTGGGATCAGGTCTTTTGTAGCAGGCTCACAAGGGTTTTGTGTTTTTTAAAATGTCCTTGGGACAGATCGCGTAGTGGACTTTACCAAATAAAACTGGGAGACACTCTTAATTCCCAGGAATTTTAGTAAGCTGTATCTTGACGAATGGTGTTAAAGGACATCTTTTTATTCCACATTGTCATTCTTTCAAGTTATGTAAATAGTTTTTCACACTACGAGAACATGTATTTGGGTTTTTTTCATCTCTGCACCACCCTAATTCTCAGCTGCTGATGGATATAAATTGATGTGCTACCTAATTTTATCACTTTATCAAACAGTGTACTAATTTAAGATTCAGTATGGACAGGTAAAGTGTATTTTTAGTTATAGCAGTAAGTACTTCAGCAGCAAACAATGAATGTAAATAAATCCAAACCAAGCATTTCTTCCCCAGTTTCCTTCTGTGTATCTTTTAACATAATTTATAGCGTGTATCTAAGGGTCTAATTATAGGGACTGGGTTGCTAGGCAAAAAAATAGTATTTCGGGAAACTTCCTGTTCATGATACTTCTGAAAACCAACCCAAAGCTGTTTCCTAATAGTCCATGTTCTGGGTAAATTAAACAATATTTTACACAGAGAGCCGATCACTAACTCATTTTTTTCTAATCTGGACAGCAGGCAAATTACTCCTTTCCTCTAGTCTTCTTCTTTTCCCATGAAAAAGTACCCCAAAATCCTGTGTGCGCTTTGGAATAGATTTAGACTTTGCCACAAATAATAACCTCATGGAAAAGCTTAGAGAAGGGCATCCTAGAAAAACTGCAGAGTGACAATGTGAAAAGAAGAAATTACTTTTATATAAAGTATTTAAATTTATTAGAATGCATAAAACTAAAACAGGAGTATGCATGTCATTTTGATTTTAAGTTGTAAGTGTAAGTAAGATCATCACTGCATCTGATAGAGGAATCCTTGAACTATGAGAGACAATTAGGTTATTGTGTCTGTTGTATATTTTTGTGTCTTTGATGATAATAACCCCATATTTTCCTCTCAGGATAGTTTTTTGAATTCACATCAATCAAGACATCACTTTTCTTTCAAACTTTTCCAGAACGAGGGAGAAAGAGAAGAGTAAGGTACAATGGTGTTATTTAATCCTGGTTTGAACAATGCCAAGAATCTATATTTAAGAGAGTCAGATAAGATCTATCTCTATTAATCATTCACAGAGACTTAGAGCATAAAGACCATGAAATCCACTCTGAATAACTTAAACTTCTTAGTGTTGAAAATTTTATTTGCTTTAAAAACCCCAAGAGATACTCAGCAGAATTGTGTTCATTTAGGTTACAATATTAATCTCTTCATGTTGTATAATTGAATATAATATAATGCTTTCTTTCCTTTTTATTACAAAAAAACTTGGTGAGCCAAAAGCAGACAGTGAGAGGGAACCGAAGTTTTCCACTTCAAAGGGTGTGTAAATCTCTTCTGATGTTATGGTTAGGAATTTTATATCAGCCCCTGGGTTTTAACGAAAAATTGGTAACATGGTGCTTCTCCTATGGGAATTCATATTTTTGTACAGTAATGGCGAGGAAGAACTGTGGAGAGTAAGCAAGAGCACAAAGAAGAAAATCGACTTTAAAATAAAACCAAAGAAACAAGTTAGCATAAATATATTCCCTAAGAGATTTTTATAACCCTTGCAAACACGTGGCATTGCTGCCTATAAGCAGCTTTATCAAGAAATAGAACCCCAGTGTGCAAACTTCTTAATGTAATGCTGTGAGATATTTCAGTCCTGGCCTGTGTCTCCTGCTCTCCTTCCTCTCCAGTGCAGGACTGCACAGTGATACGTGGCCATCTCCACTAACAGTGAGTTCCACTTGAGGACCAAGCTTGTAATTTAGCTATTCAGCAGCAAAGAAGCTAGTAGACAAGCTGGCTGGGACATAATAAAGGCAGTAATTTGTTATGTTCACTAAGTTATCTATCTGATTTATATAGGCAAAATTCTTGAGTGCCACAGCAAAAAATGTTGGCACCTGAGACAGAATCCTGTTTGGAGTTTGAAAATCCAATTCAAAACATAGAGGAGATTGATTTGAATACTGCTTAAACTGACATGTTCAGTAACTGAACTGGATTATGTAAAAAAACTTGGGAAAGAGCCAAACACTGCTTTTGGAAAGAGAGAAAAATGCAGCAGTTGAGCTACCCTTTAGCTCTCAAGAGAGCTAAGCTTTATTCTCTGCCTGACTCACTGGGGTCATTTCCTCTACTTATGGTAGCTTTGATATTCCTGAGAGCACCATGCAGCATCAGCACTGTGTACAGGCAGGGGCATGAAGAAACTGGTTACATATTTCCAAACAATTTCCTAGTTGATTGGACAAGAAATTAAAGTGTTCTGCAGCTATGACTTGGTTTCTGCAGAAACCTCTGTTTTTAGAATTAGCTGGTTACTGTTGTGCATCTCCTAAGGATCTGTTGGCTGAAATTCCCATGTTGAGAGTCTGTCCTCAGATCTCTTGTCTCACTGCAGCAAAAATCTGGTCACTGAATAGTGATGTGTAGACTTTAATTAGAGAAATAATGACAAATGGCAGTGCTCATTTGTCAAATGTACTCACAGTTGTAAGAAGAGCCTTGCACTGGAGAATCAAAAGACACAAAAAATACTGGTTGAGCTGGCTTCATCCACTTATAGAGGGGTACTTTTTTGTTTTGGAGGTGATGAGGAGATAAATTATTTTGCACAAGGTTTTCCTGTGGTTCTCCAAAAAAGCCAGGAGCCAAGAGGTTGGGTCTCCAGATTTCTGGCCACCCACCCCAGCCCCAGTGATGCTTTTCTAAACTGCAGCTTGTTTCTACAGAATATGCAACACTCTTCCTTAATTTCACTTCTACATTTGGTTATTCAGGAGCACCTGTAAGGCATTACTTTGGACAAGACTGGGTGTGCAGGCATGCTGCAGAGACACCACAGCAGCATTGTTTGTTATGGCCACAGCCTGGCCACGTTTCAGTAAATGGCAAAAATCCTATTGGTAATCTGGCCAGAGTTTCAGTTATAAATCCCAAATTAGCATTTGTGGATGGTGACATTATGGCTGCTCAGAGGCGCACTATAGATTTCAGAGCTGTTGATAACATATCAAGGCTGTCACATGCCTTGGACAGAATTCAGGTGGCACTGCAGAGATGAGAACACTTAAGGAGGGTCTTCTTTCATATGCCTCTATCTACTTGTTTTCTGTTCTTATCCTTTACTAAATTAGATGTTTCATTACCTGCTGAGTGTTTTTAATACTCTCTTTTGGCTAGTAAAATATGCCTATATCTGTTTGGCTTTGCCCACATTTATTAGAGAAGAAAATCACTGATCCCTTCCCAATTCCTGTGGTATTCCTACTGTCTTTAGAGACCTAGCAAAAATGTTTACAAGTTATTTTTGAATTTCACTGGATACCATGTCTTTAGTGGTTTTAGTATGTGTTTCATTATAACTATTATGTTTCACTATAACTATTACAACTATTAAAACTATTAAACTATGTAACTATTAAAAGTTTACTTTCCTGTACCATATTCAAAAAACCTCTACTATTGTCCACGGAAAAAAAAAGTATTTCTGACTGAATTTAAAAAAAAAAAAAAAAAAAAAAAAAAAAAAAAAAAAAAGAAAAAGAAACAGCAAAAAAGTAATTATTATTTCCATGGTGTCACTAGAGCCTGGCCTGGTACTTGTCTCAGCCACTCTTACTGGATGCTGCAACCTGAGATAGCAGCAGGAATCCTGAACCACCAGACCATCTGACCAGGTTCTGCTGGATGACAGCCTGGGAGCAGGATTTCTACAGAGAAAATCTACTCCTGACCCACGTGGCCAGAAGTGGAAACTTCCCAAATTATGTTTGGGAAGTCGAAGGAGGCCTCTCTCGGTGACAGTCTAATAGACAGAGTTGTCCATCTGTTACCTGCTGTGGCTCTGGGAGATGACTTTGTTGGTAAGTCAAACAGGTTCCCACAAGGACTCAGATCAGACTGCCTGGAGAGATTGTACAGTTTCCTTTCAAGGAAGATTTCATGAGGATAAAGCTGTGAGCTGCTCTGAGCACACAGCTTGAGCCTGCTTTGAGATGGAGGTTGCACCAAGACCTGGGTGTCTGTTTTGACTCCTCCATGAATATGTTCATAGGCAAGGGTAACTGCAAGCTTGGCTCTGAGGTGAGACCCCACACCGTGATGGCTGCAGGGTGGGAGGGATGTGCTGCTGGCATGCAGCACTGGGCTGCAGAGGGTCCCTCAGAAGCTGCAGTGTGGGAACGCTGCTGTGCTCACCCCGTGCCACAGGCCAGGCTCATGTGACCAGTGACACCAGTTTGGGGACCCTCAACAGTGGCATGTGCTGCAGAGGAAGAAATTGGATTGGCATTTCATTTATTGTGCGGAGGTGGCCACTATAAACTTGACTTGTGTATGCTATTAGTACCTCACCTTCTGAGAAAGCCAACTGTAAAATTAAAATCAATTGTCATGAATATGAGATGCATATTTTTCCTAATTGGCTTTAGTGCAATTATATCCAAAGGCCCTTTTCGCAGTCATTCACAGAGCTTAATTGCTGCAGTTTAATATTACAATCTAAAAAGGCCTGGAAGGAGAGCTGATATTAGGCTAGGTTCCTGATGAATTATAATTATCACTTTGTGTAGATGAGTGGAAAAAATTTCTTATT